ATAAATAGCGTAAAATCTTCTCAAATGGCAAAAAATAATACTTACTGATATAGGAAGTCCTTGTCCTCTGAAAATACGGCACCAGTAAGCCCAAACGGAGTATGATCCTGAAACAGAATAATGAGCACAGCTGTGCATATGGCGTTACAGAATCGCCGCGATTTTGCGTACTTTGCGAAAATTCGCATCTCCAAAAGAAACTTAAAACCCTCCTTCACAAAGGCTAATGTTGTAAACTAGCCGTTAGGATTACATATTAGGAATGAAATGAAGTCGCGCTCTAGATAAAATTAATTGAAAATCTGTTTTCTGCATAACCCTATTTTAGCAGTAAGAATCGTCTAATTTTTCATCTATGCCCTTTTGAATGGATAGAAATATGCAGACCTTTATAGACCTAAGGAGTGCATCAACCTCATTATCTTCGTACACGTAGGCAGTAAGAATCGGTCCGAAAATTTCCTTAAAATGTAAGAATCAATTTCGTCAAATGATAGTGGGAGAAAGTCGCAGAGATACCTCGCGGATGAGCTCGCTCTTCACATTTGCGACTTTTATGAGTGTAGCATCGATAAAATATCCCTTGCTGTCATCGCAGTTTCCACCAAGAAGAATTTCCGCACCAAATGCACCACTCCTGGCGTGATCTGAATATCCATCTCGGAGGATGAAAAAAACGAAGGGTTGTGTGTTATTACTTCAACCAAAAAACGAAGGGCCATGGAAGTTATTGCAAACTAAGAATGTAAAAAAAATCACCAATATATCCTTTGATATTTTTGAAAGATCTCTCATCAATGACCGCAGAGAAGAAAATAGAGCCATCTCTTACCTAAATGTAGCAGGTTTTCAAAAAATCGTGAGTGTACGAGCAACAAAACGAATTAATGGTGAAGAGGACCAAAACTCACGTCACCCAGCTTAATCTGCTTGTGTATGTCAGAAATCTTCTTGAAAATTTCTTCCCATCGACTTTTTGGCACATATATTCGTGAACAAGCAGAGCATTTTTGACCACCGTATTCCCATGCAGAACGAGCCGTGCCTAAAGAAATTGGAATTATTGAAAATTGAGATCGACACTGAGAGCAATTTCGAAGTCCGTTGATAATTCTAAATCCAGCGATCTCTTTCATAAGACAACACAAAATTATCTCGCTAAAACATATAAAAACCCCTAGCTTTTCTCGAGGTCCATTATCAGCACATCACCGCAGATTATTAGGTTGTAACATAAGTTCGTAGAGTTTTTCACAAAAATTTCTCTGAACAAAAAGCAATAATTGCAGGAATAAATTATTAAATAAGTTATTATAATAACCAGCCAATACACGAATTGTTTGGCGACCATCTTTCTACAATAGTGCCTTCAGACGCTCTTGGTCGAATTCTGCAGGTCGTCCGCTTCGAGGCGTGTCTTCAAGTTCAAAGTCGCCTATTTCAAGCTTTGCGAACCATTTTTGTGCAGTAGACACACCTATGTAAGACACCTTCTCTGTACACACTGCATATCTCCCGAGCTGTTTCGGCAAGAAAAGCAGATGTCGAAAATGCTGATTTTTTCCTCCTAGATATTCCATTTCTGAGCCAGAAAAAAGACGAACAACTAAACTCCCCAAAAAAACAGATAAAACAGTTTTGTAGAGGAGAAAAAGCTCTATCGAATGAATGTCTACACTTTGCTGAAAAACAAAACAAGTCGTTGCAAAATAACTCTAACGCAAAACTCTACGAACTTATGTTACAACCCAATACTTAACTTGACGACGGGTTCAATGAACATTTTCAAATCGCCCTGTGAGTGAGGGAAGGGAGAAACCACGATGGGACTAAAGCATGCAACCTTGCACACATTACTCGAGGTTCCCTATTCAGGCATTATCACACATTTCTTTAATTGTCTTCACCCCTTCTCAAATCGTGAAATAGTATTCGTTACTAAAACTAGCATACCCTTG